AACACAGTCGACGCACACTAACACACTTTTATTGCCTAACAGGTTCATGTATGTGAAAAGCGATGGTAGAATCACGAATTTGGTGAAGACAGCAGCCGTCAGGGGAGAAAAAGGAGATGGGGTGGGGGTCAGGGAGAGGTGGATGTGACATGATTTACAATGATATCATTAACCTTGAGAATCAGAGAGCCCTCTTTCACACAAACACAGTCTTACTGACAGAGTGCTACCTTCCACATGACACCGACCCAATTCACAATAATGAGGAGAAAAATAACATGTCAGGCCTGCATAAGCATGTTCAGTGATTCTTCCAACAACAAAACATAAATTGTGCCACACAGCAGTTAAGGATTTCAAACTGGGATATCCTACTGTAACAGTTTCTCATGCAAATTATAGTGCTGTATGTGGTTCTAAATGTGAGCCATGATACACTGGGTCCCCATATATATTTATGAAGAATGTGCATTGTTCATGATACAACCCTGTTGGTATAATCAGCATTAATGTAGATGAGAGAATACTACTTAGCTTAAGCTAGTCGTAATAACATTCCAGTGCCCAATGGCTGCTGATTAGCCCATATTATTCAGAAAATGGGTCCTGTTTAATTTAGTTCTAACATTCGACATGCTAAGTTGAGTGAATCTGTGTTAATAGAGACAGAGCATCTGCATTGTTTAGCATGGGTATAAACAAAGGCATTAATGTGAGATACACAGCTTACACTTCTCCCGTTCAATTCTGGTTTTCTTTGGTTTGTGGCCTTCTTGTATTTGTATTATATTTAATTATTATTTCTTTTTAAGGGCCTGAAAACAAGGAATAAAATAAATATGGTTAATTTGTGTGTAGTTTGTGGGCCTCAACATGGAATTAAAGAGTTGCTAATTTTATTTGAAGTTATGAATCATTATGTTCTTAATTATCATCTGTTCATCTTCAAAAATGTCTAATAACATTGATTGTTGCATTAATTAGATTTTTTATTTTATTTTTTTTAGATTAGATTCAACTTTATTGTCATTACACAGGTACAGGTACAAGGCAACGAAATGCAGTTTAGGTCTAACCAGAAGTGCAATAGCTGCAAGTGCAGGATAAATAATGGTTCCATAAATACAGGACATGGGTTCTACAGAATAAGAATAGAGATGAATACCATTATAAATAATGAATATAATATACAGATCACTAGTGTTATGAACTAAATTTACAGCTGGGTATGTACCGAATATAATATACAGGTGGATATTACTATAAAAAGGGTTTTTACAGTTATGTACAATAGCATATATACAGATGGATTTTACTACAAAATGAATAAATAAAGTTTGGACAGAAGCTATCTAAATTAAAGTGCAGTGGAAGGTGATTGCATATAACAGAGAGAACAAATGATCTTCTTTGGGTGAACATGTTTGACGAATTGTCAATTACTGTTTGATAGGCCCAATAAAGTAAGACCTCATTAAGAGAAAAAAGGCTAATTGAGATCACAGTTTTTTTTTATCAATAAAGTTTATTCATGCAATGTATTAATGAGGCAACGTATATGTTCCAAGTTCTTATTAAATACTTATGTTTATTTCAATAATTAATGAATTTTTCACAGTAACAAACTGATGACAGTTTCAGCATATTTCCAATGGTGCTGTCGATCATTCATCTTTTATGGAGTATTTAAGATTGGAAAGCCTATTTGTCTTGACCCTAATCTTTCACATATTAATAAGCCAGGGCTCTGACTGGGCCACTTTAAAACATTATTATTAAATCCCATGAGAAAAATTATTTACTATAAAAAGTAGTTTTTAGTAATTAAATGTACTTTTAAAAAAATGCATACCAAATACAAACATCTATAGTTTGTAAGCAGAATCAAGAGCTTAGAGCCAAAGCACAAAGCTTGTTTGCTCACAAAAGTTGTTTGATCTTTCAAAGATGGATATTCAAATTAAAATATGCTAAAGACATATTTACTGCATTAAGCAGCTACTGTGAATTCAAATGATATTCAGTACTTTTGTTCATACAGTAGGTTTTGCTCTCCTCTAGAAACTGGATTGATTACAACAGAATGAAGCACTTTGTCAGTGAAAAATAATGAGCAGAAGAAAATAATTTTCACACAAATCCTATTTATTAAACAAAAAACTTAAAACATTTCACTTATAAATGTTTTTTTTCTTGTAAACTATGTATCAATAAAAATAATTTTGCAAGTAAAATCATAAATTTAAAGCTCCCATTTCAAGCAATTCAGTGGAAGACACGAACATATTGCATTCACAGTTAAAACCGAAAAAACTACTGGCACAATGGATGCAAACCATTCAGCCCTTTTAAAAGTGCATTATACAACAGTCCTTCTGTAACCTTTCTACATAGAATTTTTTATTTATTATTAACATAATTATTTATTATCAACATAAGGAAAATATAGAATAGTTTTAATATTTTGGCATCACATTTGTCAGTCCGAACATAATGTTTGCATATTTTCTTCAGGATTCACCTTTTTATAATATGATATGGGCTTCAATCTGTAAAAGGACATTGTAGATTTACAGAACTGTGCGTCAATTAACTAAACAATAAATATCAACCATAAAGGTCTACCCTCTGCAAAAAAACATACAAATAACACAGATCAAACAGTCATTATTTCAGGCTAAGACTTCTGCCACAATTTCAAAAATGTTAGGTAAAATAAAGTTACACTTCATGTAAATAACTAATTTCAGAGGAAAATAATTTGAAACAAATACATTTCTATTGAGAAACCTTTGAGAAAATAGATAAAAATAAGACTGGGTATATTTTCCTACAGCAAACATTTTTTCCCAGCATCCTCATTTCAGTGTCTCTTGAGCATTTTCAGTTGGGAGGAACAATCCAAGTGAAGTTCCAAGAACAAAAATGCAAATTTTAGTGTTAAGTAGCCAGAAAATCTGAACTATAAGCATGGACCTTTAAAGACAACTATGGAAATAAACTAAAATTAGAAAACATTAGATGTGCAAAACAATGATTTTCTATAGAAAAAGCATTTAAAAAAATATTGTTCACTGTAGCTTTAAAATGAAGGCAAAAGCGTATCTGCTTCAATTAACTAATAAGTTTGTGACCAGTTATTTGTTTTGAATTTTTCCATGCAACACAAACATCTTGTAAAGCACTTAAAATTACATGGAACTGTGCTACAGAAACAAATTTTGCTTTTCTGTTTTGTTACAAATGCTTTTGCATAAATATATCTGGCCCAATTTTTTGAAAGCTGAACAATATTTAACAGAATAGATAAGCTGAATACAGACTGTGATGGATTGGATATTTCAGAATAAATTAAGACCTGAAACTTTGAATTCAAACAGATATTTAAAGAGAACAAAAAGCTGATTGTTAATAACTGATGTTACTTTAACCACTTCAGTGGCGGTCCTGTGATTCTTTTTCTGTTTGACTTCTTTCAAAACCTTCAAGCACAGAATACTTTAAGTTTCAATATATCTCTAAGCATTTTTTTCCCAACTAGTGATATTCCAATAATGAAAAGAAAAAAACAACCAAATAAAGCTTAGTAAAACTTTTTTTATGATAAGCAAGCAAGTATAGAAGGACTATCAAGAACAATGGGTTTTTGGTTACCTTAAAAAAAATCCCATAAGCCACTTCTAGGAGGCTGAGCTGAGAAGTGAAATGAGGGCAGTAACTTCTCAATTAGTCAGCTAGAATATTGGTATGCATTTCTCCAAAATGAATTAAGTTTAAATATAAAAGTATTGACATAAGAAGAAATAATATATTATATATATATATATATATATATATATATATATATATATATAATATATTATTTCTTTGATAAGACCTCATATATATATATATATATATATATATATATATATATATATATATATATATATAAACCTCTTAAAAAAAAAAAAGTAAACATTTTGCATTTTAGATAAAAATCTTTTTTGTCTGTCAATCTGCTCTGTCCAGAACTCCTCAGGTGAAAAAGTTTTACTTTCACCTGGTTTAATTTTGTAAAAAGTCTTCTTTAAAGAACCTTTTTGCTTATTAGCAGATTTGCAGATTATTAATCAAAAAATAATCGACAGATTAATCAATTTGCTAATTAATCATTAGTTGCAAGCCTTATACAAAAAAACATATATATATGTATACATATTCGTGGTGGGGATGGATAAATGTTTTTAATCTAGATTAATCTCACTGTAAAATTGGAATCTAGACTACTTTAATCTAGATTAAAATCGCTCATCTGAATTCTGTCCAAAGGCATTCATGCTTTTTGCTACCTGTAAAAAAAAAAAAAAAAGTTTACAGAAAAAAATCACGCAATTTTGTCTTCTTACCTAAGATTTTGACAGCCATAACATTTTTTTGCTCATTTGTTACTCTGTATTTGCTGCAAAGAATAGTGTCCCAATTCCAATTATAGATGTCTCACTTTAACAATGAATCTAACACATGTCGCCTCGATCAACTTTTCATCTTTCACGGCTTTCTCCGCGGCGTGCTGGTCATGTGTTCTCCTCATGATAGTTCGCCTCACAGGTAGTTTGTAAGATGGGTCACCTGTGGCCGCCTGGAGAACGAGCTTGAGCCTATCAGCCATGCTGATGGTCTGGCAGCTTGTGGCTAGCCACTGACTGAGAATATTGGTTATCTTGGTTCATAGAGCTGTGCTTTCACAGTACGCCTATACAGGTTAGTAAGGCTAATTCATTCTCTCACACCAGATATACATCCATGCTAAAATATCAAGGTGAAAGTCATCATTAGTATAGACTCAGCTCCCAAACGGACTGTGTGAATAGATTAACGGCAAAGTTATTATTTTTTTTTAATCACCCGATAAGAGTCTGGCATTAACGTGAACGCCGATAACGACACACCACTATTATATATATATATATATATATATATTTTTTTTTTTTTCAAAATAAAATACATTCAACATCTTGGGTTCATTTAATACATTTTAAGACACTGTGGAACCCTAAAGTTCATTAGTAACAGTTGGATGCTGCTCTTTTTTGAGCTTGTTTTCTTATTGTCAGTTACATTAAAACGTGAAAAACAAAAGATCAAAACAATACTACAAATAATGTTGCAGAAGATTGCAACATCACTTTTTTGAAGTGAGTTGAATAAGAAAACAAACTTATTCTAAAGGTAGTGAAAACTAGTTTTATTCTGCAGAGCCTCCTACATATACCTTAAATGCTTCATTTGAATCAGCAGCAACCAAACACAGCATGTTAAAGTTGCTGCATAAAGCACTGCTTTAATCAGCTGTTTTCAGCTTTTGCTATTCTTTGATAAGACCTCAACTGACATCTAATGCCTAATGTGCAAAACTGAGAAAGACACTTTTTTAATGCCACAACCTTTCACTAAGGCTGCTTTGCTGCAGAAGTGTCAGGCCATTTACCTCGAAACAATCCACCTGAACGTAAACATCTTGACACAGAAAGTCAAATCCCCCCTGTTCTCCTTTGTCCTGTTCAGAGAAGGCCAGATCCATCGTAGACCACTGGCTTGTCAAGACTCAGATGATATAGCACTTTCTTTGAAATGAACCTAATTGAGAAAAGAGATGGTTATATTGTGAAACAGGAGAAGGTGGATAAGATGGCTGCAAGGTAAGTTGCCTCTTTATTAAAGGGGAATACAAAGTAGACCAATTTGGAAACCTAAAATTTTGTGCATTTTTGTTAATATTAGTGAAAAAAAGGGAGAAAAGAATCACATGAAATTCCAAATACTGATACAAAAAAAGTCAATTAGAGCAATAGAAACTAAGTGGGACTGGATAAACATCCACCACATGGTGCAGTATTTTGTATCCCAAAACCCCAGGAACCAAATAAATAATACTTTAAAGCACAAAAACAGCAGAAAGATGAATTGATCAAAACAACAGAACATTTTAAAATGCCCCTTTTCCCATCAGTAGTCATTTTATTTAGGTTGACACAGGTTGGAAAAGTATAATTGGCTTTGTTTCAATCGCCATCCCAATTGAGTCTTTGTGGCCAACTTAGCAGCTTTATCACTATAATCAGCAACTTTTCAGACCCCTCTTTTTTTTTTTTTTCAAAAATGCTACTAGAACTCCATAAAGTGCCTTCTTTCTTTGATGATGGAGTGACAACATCAAAACGCACCAATCACTCTGAGTTTAGAGTCTTCAGCAAGCAGTGAGAGCTGCTGCAGGCCCCTCCCTCCTTCAAAGCACCAACAGGCAGTAAGCAGACCATGGCTGCATTCAGACAGAGAGAAGTGACCTCTATCTGTTACCCCATTAAAAATGATTCATATGGACAAAACCTCCACTCATACCAACTAAATGAGCATGTAAATATAACATTTAACTTTTTTTCTTTTAAACTGGTGAGCTAAATAGACTAACCTGACAACAGCCAGATGCATGTCTCGCTTCGCCTAGCTCCACTCACATACATCTGGGAACCCGCAATAGGAATTGCCTTTACTGAAGGCTGGGCCTTATCAAAACTCCTTGCATATGATTGGATAAGCCACTTGTCTGTCATCTTTATTGACGTGCTATTTCAACCACTCACACCGAAGCTAACCCGTGACGCTGTGAGAGGAGGAGCCATTTGGTAGATCAAGCTCTTGCCAAATCTGGTCGGGAGAAGGGCAAAAACATCGTTTCCACCAACAAAAGCCTTCAAAGCCGTTCTCTGATGTTCTTTTAATGAAACAATATCAGATAGATTGGACAACACAGAAGATATAGCAGCATCAATGCTAACGCTTGCTTCCTCGATGCGAGCCGCCATTGTTGTTGGAATCTCACGGTCGCTTCTCCACTCCAGGACACACCCGCCCTGCGTCCTGATTGGACAGACCATAAATTCGGTTGGGGAAATCACTTTCAATGAGCGGGTTCCCAGATGTATGTGAGTGGAGCTGGGCGGAGCGAGACATGCATCTGGCTGTTGTCAGGTTATAAATAGACTGCATTTAATTCAAATACTGTTTTATACGCTGTGTATGCCTCTGTTAACTGTCTCTTACCACATGGGGACGCAGGCTGAGGAAAGGATTAAGTTTCTCAAATTCTCAAAGCCAAATTAAAGAATGGCTTTAGTAGGGCCAGTGGTGGATAATCCAGGTCCAGAATAGAAAGTCGGTACAGAGATCAGATTCAACCATTTGCATTTCTAGCTCTACACCACAGACTGGGGGGCTAATTACCTCATTAAGTGAACAGGATGAAGAAAAATTAGGCAGGGTTTTTACTTGCTGGACCTGGGTTATCTACCTCTGAGTAGGGTTGACCTCATTATAACCTCTTAACACACACCTAACCCAATGTTGTCTTAATTGGAAATAAATGCACCCAGGTGGGTTTCAAGAAGTTAATTGGTAATGCTCAAATAGGGTTAGGGTTGCAATTTAAATTACCCCCCCCCCCCCCCCCCCTTTTTTCTTACTTCAAAATGGGTAAAAAAAACAACAATTAATAATCATTGATATCGACTGAAAGAAAAAGCTTGTATGTTGACACATGTTTTAGCCATATTGAACAGTCCTACAGTAGTTGCCGTCAATGAAAACAAGAAAAGGGGATTACAGGCAACTGCTGAAACACTAATTGTATACATATTCACCTTTTTCATCATACACATTATTTTATGACATACTCAAATTAAATTTGATATTTAACTAGTATGAATCTATTAAAGATTTATAATTAACATTGCGAACTGTTAACCTTAGCCTTTTGACCAAAATGTAAATGATTATATTGACAATATAGTAAAATACTTCTTTCTGATTTTAGTTTAATTTCAGCCTGAACATTTAGGTCATTGCTCAGGTCCCATGAACTGCTTTTAATTAAGATTGAGTGAGATTTTTGGACTAAAACGAATGACAAACACTTTTTTCTAACATTTGAATCTTTCAGTAACACCAGCAGCGAGATTCTCACTCTGTTAAAAGTGAAAACTAAGAATAAAAACCTAATTCAAATGGCAAGCTGCTAAATAAGAAGCAGGTAGGGCATGATTTGAGCTGTTCTGCTCTTCTCAAGAAAATCAGCACCGGTCGTGCATATAGGAGACAGGGAAGACAAAAGGACAATTTCAATCCCTGAGGAAACAAGGTGCTATGCAACGAACAACCTCCTCTATACAACAACATGATATCTCTGACATATACTCATGAGTGTGAGAATGGTTTTAAGAGCTACGACAAACTTTTATTATAAAGCAAAACAGAAACTTAATTAGAAACCATATGATTTCTAAATTCCATAACTGTGTATATATGTAATTTGGCTGCAAAGAAATAAATATAAAAATATTCTAGGGCAAGAAATTAAGTTCATGATATGTAGCTAATATTTTGAAGCCATTTTCGCTGCCACTGTGCTTTTTGGCCAAATTATAAAGCTAATACTGATGCTGTGACTTACAGTGCCCCCTGGTGTTGGATTCAACGATAAGGACACAGTTTTAACTTGGCTTTATACTTGGTTCCCGCCTAGGCTAAGTTTACTGGGTCAATTGCCATAGTAACTGACTCAGAGAGAGGCAGGCTTATGATGTCAAATTACAGCAAAAAAAAAGAAAAAAAAAAAGACTGATTTGACCAACAAGGCCTGACTTATAAACCAAGACAGCTTTCTGAAGCACTGTTCTGCTTTGTTTAGGGCTGTTAACATTATTGATGGTTTGTACCAGTGCAAAAGCAGCAATACGATAGGAAGTACTGACCTGGAGAAAGAGTTGTCAAAGATGAGTATGTATTCTCCTTGGTTTCTAACTTTTAGCTCCCCCTGTATCGTCTCTTTGTGGGAATTGCAACGAGTCAGAGGAATCAAAACCTGTCAAAAAGAAATTGGTGTATTTTGATTTAAACAGAAGGTCACATATTGTAGATTTTGAAATGATCAACATAAAAAAAGTGATGGGCAACATAAACAGAGTTAAAAACATGATGAATTTTGGGATCTATTGCTGAGAGTTTTAATATATTTTGCCTCTTGTGTTGTTTAATCCTTATCCTTACTGAGGAAGTGCAGCTGTATAGGGGAAACTTAAACACCATAGGGGAATAAACAGACTGCTTACAAACTGATGTTAGTACACACCCAATTAGCTGTCACTCAAAGGTTTATGTTAATAGAGGGAAGGATCAGCAGACGGGACCTCTTATAGACTGCAATATAGATGACCCATTTCGATAAGGCACATGGAATACTTCAATTATTTTGCAGTTATCTCATCTCCGAGATCACATTTTGCTTTGTTTAAACCTGATGTTCCTTACCATCTGGAGTCAGCAAAACGCTTTACATATTTTCACTGTAAGCAAACAGTTGCTGCAGCTACCCTGGAGCAACATTATCAGTCAGAGCCATATTTTGGTCTCATTTTGAACTACTGAGGGGAGCTAACCACTCTGTAGCAGCCTATTTCATATTATGGTTATAAACAACATGATTACAGTTTTTATCTGTGCACCATATGAGCTGTGAAGTGTCATTAAAATATATAGATTTTTTTGAAATAGCAGAGTTTAGAAAAGTTATTTTCTCTAAATGGGTCATCATGATTTATATAGATTTAATCTTGTTGGGAATTTATTTTGTCGAAAATTTGTTGTAATTGTTGGATGCAAATAAAAAAAGGTCAATGGTGTCTTACCTTTGCCTGCTCCAACGGAGTCTCTGCGCTCTCCCTATACACCACACTGAAGGAGATGCTCTTTGGTTCGGAGGTGAAGGTCCAGGACACCGTAGATCCAGGAGTAGTCATAGTAATAGGGATGATGCTATAACAGCTTGACTTGATGAAGAGTTCTCGAGAGCTCTCCCCAAATTCGGAGATGTCGTCCACCGTCAAGCAGACAGAGAGCCTACAGCCACAAACACAAAGTGTTTAATGATGTCACAAAGTGACTACCATAATAAATTGTCACAGAGAGCAAAACATGATCATCAATAATTAATGAAAAAGTTTTACAAGAATTAAAGCTGCAAATGGAAGTGTTTATCCACTTTAGACCTATAGAGACTAGTTATCTGCCAATTTCTCTTTCCAAAATAAACCAAGCAACCAGGAAAAATACAGCTCCTAGTAGCAGTTGGAAACAACTGCATTGGCGCCAAATAGCACACTGCTTCCAGGTCCTCACTCCTTCCTAACTGCCAATACTATTCAGATTGCACTGAAGTCAACCATGGGTGCACTTCTGCTGTGGCCTTAGTGTTCTTAATGATTTTAGGTTTTTGAATTGATCCTTGGACTTCATGACACTGCTTTGACCCAGATGATCCCTGACAAATCTCTGTAGCTTTCACAGAAAAGCTGGATTTACAGTTGGAATAAATTATGCACAGACAGGGTCTGTTTCAGACCTGTGAGAAGTCAGTCCTAGAGTCCTGCAGGTTTCAGAGATTTCCCTGCTTCAGTGGAGCTGATTCTGATGATTGCAGTTCAGAAAAAGTCTGTTAATGTTAATCAGCTATCAATGGAAATCAGCTGTGCTGAGAAACCTCTAAAAAACCTGCAGGACCCTCGCTCACTTCAAGTATACCTTGTAAATTTCCTAGAGACAAGTTAATTTACGGGTTTCAAGGTAAAGGTAGAAGAATGGAAAATGGACGCCACACTTACCAGATTTTTTTTAACTGCGTTACATTTCAGTTTACATTATCTGCTATTTGATGTGTAAATTACATTAAATCATCTATTTAAAAAAATAAAAATTCAAGTTTACAGTCACTAATGTGACAAATTGTGGAAAAGAAGGAAGTGGTACAGGATTGTTAGCAAGAAATTGTATGTGGCTGAGTGAAAAAAGTGATTCTCCTTCGGTCTAAAGGTCAGTGGTTTTTAGTTCCTCTATGCATATGGAGTAAGAATATCAGCGCTAGTGTAAGTGAATATAAACCATCCAAAATACTATTGTTGTGGTGCATTTTGATTAGACCCGCACTATAAATTCAAATGTAATTGCCATCATACTGTTAATGTGAGAAATATTATAAACTGAAAAAGTCTGCTTTGATGAAGAATTTACAATAAATTTATATTTCAAGTAAAATGCATCAAAATGTTGCATCCCATTAATATTTCTGTGCCTTTAGAAGGACTTATCCTGCCTTCAAAGCCTATCACTCATATATAGTTGCAGTAGCTGCCCTGCTGAAGCTCACATTCAGTGGTGAACACGCTGTGACCTAGAAGAGTAGTATTTTGGTTTGAGAGGATGCTACAACCAATTTCATTGTAAGCTAATGTTTACAAAGGCTACAAATCAAAAGTAGCTTCACAAGTAGAAAATACTGTGAGTTTATAAGTAACTTCTGATTTCAGAGGAGGTTGTACACATGGATCAGCAGTTCCTGGATAAGGCAGATGGTTCTGACTCTTTTTTTCAAACCTGCTGCAACTTGACAACAGACGTAAACAAATATTTCCTGTGTTCATGGAACATAGTTTCGCTTCCCATTTCATGAGATTATGTTTAAATAAAAAGTAAATATCTGCCTCTTCCTCTTCAAGGGAAAAGCCACACCCTGTGGCCCAGCAACCCTATTTTACTTGACTCTTGGTTTTCCAAGGTAACTTTCACTTCAAGTGAAACTTACGTGAGTTCCCCAGACTTCAGCAGGCAGATCTCTGCATCCTGTACGGCAGCACTGGTGTCCTCAGCATCTTCTGATGTAAGGTCTCCTATACTGGAACTGTTGTTTCTAGACCAGATTCGAAAATAAAAATTAAACGCTTTCTCAAGTCTGAGTACACATGAGATGGAACAGGTAGATATTTGTGTTAATCTATTTGTTAAACAGTTTTGGTTTATCTTTTTAAATATGAATGGTTTCTGATATCGACTTCTTCCAAGGCTGCAAAAGTTAAACATTTCAAATATCTGTTTTTTTCTGACATATTGTTTCCTATGGCGTAATACCTTTTTAATGAGATACCAGAGAAAGTGTTCAAGTAAAGAGAGAGAAAGGCTTCAGCTATATGAGGTGTAATAAATTAGCTTGCCCTTCTCCCACCTGTTTCTGTATAGTGTAAGTCAATATCTGAGAAGATGGTTATATTTTCTTTTCTCCCACAAGGACAAACTAGGCTTTGGCATGGAAACGAAAGTAGTAACACCTATCAATTTCATTACGGTGAGGTTGATTAAATCAACTGACTAAAGACTGTCTGCCAGACCAGATACCTTGACGTATTTACCAGCTTATGTTAGTGTCTCTGAATAAACATTTTTCATTAAGGAAATAATGTTATTGCTCAATAAGAATATGAAAGTTACCATTAAATGTCATATATTTCTATATCACCTTGCTAATTTGGCATTGGTTATCGTACCATTATAAATTCATGACTGGCACTCAATAGGCATGACATTATGCATGACTACAGCCCTGAGGCATCGAGCTGTGTGTCTTAACTCTTGCTTTGATTTTGTTTTATTTTTCCTATATTTTAATCATGTAAAGCACTTTGCATTGTCTTTGTACTGAATTGTGCTACACAAATAAATTTGCCTTGCCTTGATGATTTAAGGTATAGATGTCTAGACACCATCAATCGTCTCTTGTAGTTTATGCCATTTAGCCTTGAGGACCTGAGCCATTAAGTTCTGGTTACTGAGGGGGGGTGGTACTGGGCTTTCTGTCTGGCAAAAGAGCAAATTTGGCTGATTTTGTTCTTCTGTGATCATAAATAATATTCCACAACAGGGAAAAAAGGTTGAAATAACCCATTTCGACTGGCTGAGTCAAAGGCTTGTGGTAAATCGGGAAAAGAAAATTACTGACACAATCTACCCCTCAATCATAGGCTTTTCACAATAAGAGAGTTTAAACCCTTATTCCAACAATTTCATGGAAATGTTGTTAGAGACAAAACTATTAGGCAAGTCCTTAGTGTTAATAAGTGTTAGCAGATAAAAAGTGTGATTTCGTAAATTCTGAACTTAAATTTATAATACCAGGGATGCCAATAACTCAGTGAACGTCTGTAGTCGGTTAGAATCAAACAATTCAGGAAAAATATTAGAGGATCAAACCCGTTTAACAACATCAGACAGTTTGGAAACTAAAGAGGCAGATGACTGCAGTCAGGCATTGAGCAGTGTGTCTGTTTGGCAGCAGACTGCAGGCTAGGTATCCAAAGTGTGAGCTTTGTTTACTCTCTGCAGACCAGAACGGCTCACAGTGACGATTCTACTGTCTGCACTGGAAAACTAATCCTTCATCAGGGGGCTGCAATTTTTTTTTTTTTAGACTGAGTCTGTACATGAAAATTAACGGAACCATAAATGAAAATTTCATAAAACAGTGCTGTTATATTTTGGCTGTCAATAATTGTTGATTTAATTATTTAAAATAAGGCCTGTTTAGATTATATCCAACATTTCTGTTTTATTGTTTTGTGTAACTGAGAAATGGTGGAGATTTAACTTAAGATTCACTCATGGCAAAAATCTAATCTTATTTTAGTTTTCCTTTAGATAAATTGCATGTCTTTTTTAATTAAAGTACAGATAATATCTCTTTAGGTGGTCTAAGAAGACCAATTAACAACATAAATTCAGCTTTCACAATAGTTTAACGATACAGTACATCATCTGATGGATTAAGCAGCACGGTCAAGACATAAAGTTGAGAAAAGGTTGTCAAATGTGACAAAAAAGATGTTGAACTGGCATGTGCCCATAATAAATGACCCAATAACTGCTCTTTTTTTCCATCTGTTAATATCTGTCTTTATGACTGATTTTCCTCCAATTTCCATTTTCTACACTTCATAAATTGAAAAACTATGATACATGTTCTAATAGAAGGAGAGTGAGGTTCCAAGTACTTAAAAAATGTTGATGGAAAAGTCATTTTTCCAAAGCTGCAGGTATTTATGCAATGGTATTCATAACCCCTGTTGTCTGAGAGCTTGTCATTATGTGTTGCATGCAAGATAATTACAGTTGTGCTTGCCCCTGCTGGCCATCTCCAGGAGCGCAGGCAGTGGCAAAAGAGTTACTGTTATTAACACCGCTGACTTCTTCCTCTGTGATAATGTCAAAAACGCCATCATCTGGCTTTTCACCTTCATCCCCTCCTGAGAAAAACACAGACACAAAACACATTTGGTATTGATCTTTTCATATTTTTGTCTTCATGCACTGTGCATATCAACAAACTTAGACTCTACAGGAACAACCTCTGATGTTTCACCTGCAATACCAGCCAAAGATCTGCCAGTCTGCAGCAGGCGGCTGAATGGGGACCCCGGTGTGTTGTGAGGGAGCTCCACCTGCGGGTGGCGCTCAACCACTGCACTGTGCTGGTTGTAACAGTCGGTACAGCAGCGCTCCCGGTTGCCCCCCAGCTGGGTGCTCACCGTGTTGCTACAGCAGTAGTAGCAGAAGGGACGCCCACACAGTCTGGAAACACAAACATTATGATGGGATGAGACAGCGTGAGTAATAAGAGTGGTGAGTTTAAAATGTAGTGTATGAAAGACAGATATGGTGCTGCTGGCAGTAGTGCATGTTCCCGTGAAATGGGATATAATTCTAATGTATGCCTTGGAAAAAGTTATCTCTTAAACTGTTTTTACTTCTGGAAAACAGTTCTGGATACATTATATTTTTTATTTTCATTCCCTCTTTAGGTTATTTTATTTTATTAAAAAAGAATTTAAATATTGACAACTCCATTACATCCTTAATTATCTCCATACATAATAAAAAAGGTGCAAAAAAAACCCCCAAAGAATCATAGCCAGAAATTATCTGTCTATCTATATATATTATACATATATTATTTATTTTATTATTAAAAGAAAAAAAATCTAAACACAGAGGTTCAGGCTTATGCATGACCAAAATTAGCATTTTATTATTTACTGATAGAAAAACAGAAAACCCATGCTCTGCGTTTTTCCACTGCGACTAATTTTCTTCAGACTTAAAAGACTGATGTCTAAAAATAATTAGTAAACCTGGTGAATAGTAACATTTTGTCTTTAGATTATTTGGGACATATTCAGTAGTAGTTCTGCAAAATCCTTATCAGGGTAACTGATCACAATGTTACAAAACATGAGAGATTTAATTTATAAAAGCAGCAAAACACAGAAATAAAACACTGGTGTTTTTCTGCAGAGCTTGCTTGATACATCTTGTTACCTGTCATTTTTTTAACATGATACTTTGCATAAATATTCACACCACTGGCACATTCTCACATGTTTTGGTAGCAACAAAAAGCATCAAGGGTTATTGCTAGAATTTTAGGGTAAAGACCAACACAAAGCAGTCGGAAGGTGAAAGGAAAAAATGGAATAAAATGGAGATTTTTGTTCTTACAAAGTTGATCTTGATAAGTGTGAAATACATATTTATTCAGACCCCAAATTAATATGATGTAGATTCTTTGTTGTAATTATGGCTGCAAATCTTCTGCTTAAGCTCAAAATTACATGGAGCATATCTGACCAGCAGTTTTCAAGCCACACTTTTTCCCTAGATTTAGTTCAACTAGTTCATCCCAATACATGTTGTTTTACAACAGAATGCAACAGAAATTTAAAATCTACCCTAGCATTAAATCACCTCCAATAGCATTGCTTTGTTTCAGAGTGGCCCATTTAGCTGCCTATGTTGTAGCTTCACATCCACTCTTACCAGTGTCCCTATACTAATGGAGAGAAGCATCATCACGGCATTATGTTGCCATCACCATGTTGTGAAGTGCATGACTATCAAATATCCTGTCAAAAGATGGCCCTCAATAAACTGTGTATTTCTGCAGATATGCCAGAGTTACCATAGTTTTTGGAAGGTAATAAAATTATCTTTACTTTTCTCTCCTGACAGCAGATGTTGAATACCATCTCTTGGTAGGTTAGCAGAGGAACTAGACCCTTTGTTTAGGTAACGCACTGAGCAGAGTATTTTTCAATCCTTTACCAGCTATCAGAGCCAGAGTTCTCTGGAGTTAGTGTTGCGTTGGTTTGCCAAAACAATGTTGAACTCCATCAATTTTTCAGGGAGGGGCCCTGATCTGACCAGTGATGACATGTTTGGCTGCATGTCCTCATTCGACCCAGAGTTGGCATACATCCCACTTTGGATGGTGCAGTTCTTCTTTCTATGAATCTGGTCAAAAATAAGACCTCCAAAACCCAGACAGCCCAGGGTGCAGACCAGGAAGCAGAGCTGGATTTAACAACATCTACTGCTAACCACCCATTACCCACCCAAATAAACTAACAAAAAAAAAAAAAAACATCTAAAAAGGAGTATATCATGATAATGTAGTTTAAATGAAAATTATTTCATTAAGAAAAACATGTAAACACCAAGGGCCTGAACTTGAAAGATTCCAAATAAGAGGCGCTAAACAATATTTTGTCAGTACAATACGTGCAATATTGTGGCACGTTGTGTGTGATCTAGAAAGATTGGCGCCTGAATGTTGACACATAGAAACCGATTAGGTTCTGGATTGTAAAATGAGCTGTCTGCATGTTCTGCTGGATGTTGTAGAATGGTCATGAAAGAAGGAGAAGGGTCAAAACAGGGGAGGTAGAGTTAATACAGATAATTATTTTAAAAAGTAATAAAAAAATACTACTTTTTACCAGTCTGATGGTATAATTTAATCAAACTGTCTCAAATGTCTTGAGCTGCCGTGTTTTGAATATGAGCTATATAAATAAACTTAATTGAATTTAAATGAATTATTGCTTTGGAAAGTTAACATTGCTATGAACTCCCAGACATCATCTCTGCCTTTTTAAGAGTTTTCCCCTTACTTAAGGTACCATTTTTAACCTATAAGGTGACTTCTGATGGTTGCTTACATCACTAAATAGTGATCCATTATATAAAACTTCAACTGAAATACATCCAAACTGTTCAAAAATGTATTGGGTATTAATATTTTTGCATGGTTTCAAGCTGGTGATTGTTAACTTTGAATCATCGAAGATGATGGCAGTGCTTTAATCTAAGATGTCCGTCTCACCTGCAGTTGTATTTTCGCAGCCACCAGCTGAACTGAGTGTTACACCCCAAGCAGTAGTTGACGTCCCTCTCCGTTTCTTCATCACGGAGCTTCTGCTCAAACTCCAGGGCATCTGACTTTTGCCAAAGGACATCTTTTTCTCTGTAAAAACATTTAGTCGGTTATATATAAGAAGGATCTTTAATGTTATTTCCTTATCAGAGTTATCCAAGAACACACAAAAGTAATGATACTACTACTCTACTTATATGCTCACCGAGCATATAAGTAGAGATCAGACCAAAGACTTCAATGATTTATATACCTGATGAGCTCCACGAGTCTTTCCTCTAAATTGATTTTGGTACGATAAAGATCATCAAGCTCAGCGGCTGTCTTTAGATCAAAGCTCTTTTTGTCCTGTTTGACCAGCCGTAGGTTTTCAGCCATTTCCTGACAGGCTCGTTGAGCTGCAGCCAGGGCCTCCTCAGACCTAAAACCAAACACACATGCACACCAAGTTACAGCTTTCGCCGACAATTTTCACTTAAATGTAAAGTCTAGTCGGAAAAAAAAAGTTGAAAGCTCTAAATTAGAAATGTACAAGTTTAATTAAAAGGCTTTGATGTAGCTTAGAATGTGTGTGTGTGTGTGTGTGTGTGGGGGGGACTTTTTTTTTTTATCTCACCTTGATAAATTTTCTTTCAGATGGATTATCTCAGCTTCGTCTCGCTGGATGAGATTTTTCGACTCGGCCATCTGGATGTTTTTCTCCCCAATCTGTTGGCAATATCTCTGATTCTCTGCCTGCATTCAGAACAGCAAAGCGAGGCATAAATCCTGTGTTTTATTTGTTATGCTAGCTCGTAACCCTGACATCATGATTACTCCAACGGCTAATTTACATGGAGCAACTGGGATCTGTGTTTTCTTCTGTCAGGTCTTACTTTTAAACAGACTTAAAACCGCACCACAAGTAATTTTGCTACAGTGTAACTTTTTAACATGTGTGTGGAGGTAAACAGGTAGTAAATTTCCTTTCATCATTAAAACATTACTTTTATACTGTAATTCACCATCTTCCTCAAAGTTTGAATCATTCTAAAACGTAATATCGCTTTGGTTACATAAACAGAGTTTTTAATCTAAATAATTAAACTGATCCCGACAACAGACCCAACCTCTAATACTGTTTTGATATTTAAAAAATGTTTCAAGTAGAAGTGGGTGTATTTTAAATATCAAGATGGCCATATGCAATACCTGGCAAAGCTGTAGAAAAACTTTCTCATGAGTTTTTTTCTTATATACCACTTAAAGATGGGGCGAAACGTTTAATAGAAAGTACTCTTCTGTCTTAGATATTCAGATACTAATCGTTAAAAATCAAGAATTTTTAATAGAAAAACAGTGTTTTTCTGGTTATATTTTTTTGCCTATACAAAACCCAGATGGGAAACATTCTTCCGGGACGTTGTTTAGCCAAGATGTTGGCAATACACAATGAAACAGATAGAGACAGTGAGGTAAATACTAAAGAAACTTTGTCGAGTAAAGTTATTTGAACAGTCGACGAACAGAATCCAGTAGATGAAAAGGTCCTTCACCTGCTACCCCTTGTGTTTGTGCCTGAATCCTGATCAGATGGGGAAATGAAGGGAAAGATGGAGCCAATGGGGATGACGAAAATGAGATGGCGACTGAACTTCGACACTTTCACAATGGTAGATGTTAAAATGGCGGGTTTTCAACCACCAAGTAGATGAGGTCTAAGTGACTTGACTAAGCATTTGAACTTGATGAGATCCATGCAGCTCAACTGACATACGCGAGTGCGTTATTTATAGATACAACTGTACCTATGTTATCAATCTATTGCCAGTAATAATCATGATTTCGTGTGGTGCTCTGAATTAGTTCATATTTTTTGATCACTGAATACAAAGAAAATATATCCTTTTTCTTTAGGTTTGAAGTCTTCAACATATATCTACAATTTAAAAAGTAATACAGATTTTAAAAAGGCTATTGAGTGTATGTTTGAGGTGTGTACAAACTTCTGACAGATGGTAAAAATCAGCTTTGAATTTCTGAAGCATCGAGAGCATCAACTGACCTCCAGCTGCTTGACTTTGTGCTCCAGACTGACTGCTTTCTCCTGCTCGGTTACCAGCTGTAACTTTACATCCTCCAACTCCTGATTAATGCTCTGTAGAAAAAAAACAAGGTAAAAAATTAGTAAACCAATGTGTTTAAAATTACAGTATGTTAAAGATGACCATGTCTGACAAAGAATCATTTTTCTCCAAAAGGCAAAATTGTGGCCCAGTCTTGTAGGTATCATCAATCTCCCAACAAATTTCCATCCATATTCAATTTCATATTGAAAAACGTATTTCTTTCTTTTCTTCTACGTTGAGGCTAGCAGACACAATTCCCGTGCAATGCACTGAAAATAATTGCTTGTAGTGTTGGAAACATCTTTTTTTTGTTAAAAACATGTTTTTTTTTTAACATACAGCAAACAGATTTAGAAGAAGACAAAGGTGAAAAAACAGATGGCAAAGGAAGCCTTGAAGGAATCATTCTCACTGTAAAAAGAACTCCATTGTATAAATATAACCATCTCCAAACCAGACTTGTCAGACATGGTCTGGCAAGTGAGGGTCTTTAGACGTCACAAAATGTGTTGCAGAGATAAAAGTTTCCAGTATGTTCTACAGTTTTTAAGAAAACTCTTAAACTAAAATGTCTCCTTGCTTGTTGTTTCCACCTCAGTAAACACCAAGCCGATTAGATACAATTCCATGTTACTGAATGCTCACAACTGTTGACTTTCCAAACGTGTCTTTGTTAATGTTATACACTTCCCTTTTGTCCTTTAAATTCTGCCCATTTTTTGTCAACGCCAATCTGACATTTTAATTCAATTCTGTCTTGCATATTTATGATAAAAACATCTCAACACTGCAAATACTATCTAAAAATAAGTACACATCTCTTAAAATAGTTGCATTTACCCTTAATTTGAGTAGGTAAATAAGATGATCTTCTAAAGGAATGACTATTTCTACTCTTAAAATAAGATAATTATTAGCTTAAAATAATGCTATGTAACTTTTATTTTTTTATTTTAAATGAAAATGGTCTTTTTCCCTTGGCAACCTGTCTCTCTACTTTATTCAATAAAAATGCATTTATTTGAATTATAATGGCTAAAATATTTAGCAGTGAGCAAAATATTTTGCAAGTAACAAAAAATAGTATCTGACTAACTAAAAAATATAAAAAGGAATAAAAATAGCTTTGGATGCAATTCTATGTGTATGGCCAAAGTACACCAAATAAAAAAATGAAATAAAAAAAGGAATACACTGAAGCAAATCCCATTGTCTGACCTTGAGCTGGTTTTCGTGGTCCGTAGCTTGACTGCTGAGCTGCAACCGGAGAGCCTGAATCTCTTCCTGGTTTGTCTTCTGTCCAGTCTCGGCCTTCTGCTGGGCCTCGCTTTGCAGTTTTTGCCTAATCAACAACAGATCCTCCTTTTCGTCGAGTTGGGAGCGGAGCTCCTGGTTCTCCTGACGCAGTTGCTCCAAGCGGGTGCCGAGCCTTTCTGCTTCCTGAGCCGACGACTCCTCCAGCTCCTGCAGCCTTGATGACAGGCCTTCCCAGCGCAGCCGGGCTTCCTCATTTTGAGCGGTCAACATGCAGACATGCACGCCAAGCTCTGCTGTCTCTGTGTTAGCCCTGTGAAGGGCCTCCTGTGACTCACTGTTTTCCAGACGCAAGGCTTCACAGCGCAATTTCAGGTTATCCACCTCCTCCCTGGAAGCCGTCACCTCTGCAGCCAGACCAACACGAGCCTGTGCCTCGCCATCACGCTCCCGGATAAGAGCCTCCTCACGCTCTCGAGATCTCAGAATCTCGTCCACATGGTGACGGTTCAGTTCCTCCACCTGAGCCTTCAGCTGATCGGATAAAATGCGAAGGTCTTCCCTAGAGGCTGCTGTCACCTCCTGCAGAGCCTGGACCTTAATCTTCTCCTCGTTTCCTGCCAGCAGCTGAGCCCTGAGCTCCACCACCTCTTCTCTGAGCCTGGCCACCTCCCTTTGGTTGAGCTCCAACTGGGCTTCAGCAATAACAAGCCTGATTGGGGCTTCTTTAGTGTCCAAAGAGGCGGTTTGAAGATTTTGCATTTTTTCATTGGATTCTGCTGCTCCTTTTTCATGGTGCATGGTCCCACTCTCCAGCTCTTCTACTCGAGCCTGGAGGAGGGCACACTTTACAGTCTGGGCTTTTAGGTTTGCCTCGGCTTCATTGAGCTTTTCAAGCACCTCCGCTTGGCCCCTTTGGGAACCTGTGAGGTTGTTAGTCAACACGTTAGCCTTTGTATCCAGAAAATCCAACTCCTGTTGCATTGCAGTTAATCGTTCCTTCATAGAGGAATGAGAATCTAGAAGCTTCTCATTTTCCTGCTGTAACCTTTTTACTTGAGCTTCTAATACTTCATTTTGGAGTACAATCTTTTGGAGTGTCTCTTCTCGCTGCAGGTTTTCATCCAAAAGCTTCTTTTCCCTGTCCGCCACGTTCATCTTTGCAGCTTCTACTCTGCTTTTTAACTGCTTCTCAGAGGCTTTTAAAGCAGCCAGCTGGTCCAGCAGAGCAGCCCTGCTTTCAGTCAGCTCTGTAACACTTGCCTTATTCATTGTTACTGTTTGGAGAAGCTCTTTATTTATTTCCATGAGATGATCGCAATGGCTTTTGCAGTCCATATGATTTCCAGTCTCGCAACAGGCAGAATTACTATTATCAGTGTGGAAGCATAAAGCCTCTCTCTCAGCATTCAGTTTCTCTAGCTGTTCCTCCAGATGCTTTATCTTCTCTGAACGAGCAGTCAGATCTTTCTCTTTACTTTTAAGAGTTTTTCTTAATTCCAACATCTGGTCTTCTAGTTCTTCATAGCTCAAACCACATCTCTCCTCTACTTCCTCCTGTAATCTTTTCCGTAGTTCCTCTGCCTGCCGTTCCCTGCAATCCAGAGAAGCCTGTACATCCTGCAGCTGGGCCCTCAGGTTTCCAGTCTCCTTCTCTTTTAGGGTGAGCGCTCCCTGAATGCGACCGACTGCACTCTGAAGTTCCTCCAACCGTGCAAGAGCCTCTTCTCGTTCAACATGTGCTCTGGCTTTGACTTCATTAAGCTTCTCCTCACAACACTTTAATTCTTCTTCCCTGAGTTTTATATTCTGGGACAAATGTTGGCACTGTTTGGCTCTTTCCTCAGCCTCCCTTTCTGCTTCTGACCTATCCTCCTCTGCAGTCTTAAGTCTTTCTAAGAGTTCATGGATTTTCCAGGCGGAGTCACGGTAGCTGGCTGTTTGTTGCCCTTTTTCACTAAGAGCCTCGTGCAATTTAGACAGAAGCTCCATACTTTTGCTCTCAGCAGCTTTAAGTCTTTCTTGTAAGTCCTTCTGACTCTGGGAAATATTCAGTTTTTCCTCATTACCAGTTTCTGAGTTACACTGGGCAGATATAATACCAGATGTCTTAGTTGATAATTGTCCTTCAAGGTCTTTGACGACGCCTTTCAGCTCGGCAGCCTCTTCACTCAACTCTTGCACATGTACCAGAAGCCGCCGCTGCCTGAGCTCTGACTGATCTAGCTCAATGCGCAGGTTCTCTGCAATGCTGGAAGAGGAATGCTCTCCCAAATCACGGAGTTCACCAAGTAGACTCAAATCGGGGACCTGAAGGCACTCATGCACCTAACCAATGCATTCAAACAGAGAGAAGAGACCTCTTGTCAGTTGCTATAAAACAAAAGTAATGTTTGACTAGAAATTTCATATTTTTTTTAATAATAGACAACAGAAGTGGATTACCTGAGAGTGGGAATTGCTGCCGACCAAGCTGTTGATGCTGGAACAACGACTGGGAGGCTTCCACAAAAGACTTTGTGAGGTAGCCCCTAGGGTTCTCCTTTAGAAAACAGAACAAAAAAAAACAGGTTTACATATACTTTACCAAGACTAGCGAATAACTTTTTTTATAAAAGTAAAGCTCAAATACGAAGTACATTACGTCCTAACTAAGAAGTTTTAAGCAGAAACCAAAAAGTTTGCAGTATTTTAGCAGCAATAGTAGGTAATATATAAATGTGGCACTTTATTTCAAGATAATTAACTAGAAATTGGTGTTTCAGACATGAGGTCAATGTATTATGAAAGCTGAAACCAGTGGTTTTGCGAAAACGTCTTTAGAGAGTGCAAACTTCTCCACTGAGTTGACAGAGAAATAAAAATATTTAAAAAAATACATGCAAACTGCAGGAACAATGATGGAGGGGGTTTAAGCTCTGTCAGCATCCAGAGCCCCCAAAAATGTAAAACAGTACATGGAGATGCGACGCAACAGGAATATAGTGTTACAAATTATGGTTTCCTATAAAACAGTTCACTATGCTCAGATAAACCCATATGCAATTTAGAAAATATTACAGTTAATTTTTAATTTTCTTTTGTAAACAGCTTTAAGAGCTTTATAAGTGTATTCATAACAGCAACATTAACTGTTAGGGTTTTTATTTCTATGCAAATTGTATTATTAGTTTCTAGTAATGGGAAAATACAGAGATCTATAAATATAATACCTGTAAATGTAAAAGTTACCTTGCAAATGAGGGCCAATCTGCATCGAGGTCATAACCTCTGGGGGCCACGTCAAACTGGATCTGGTTGAGCTCATAAAGGTCGTTGATTATTTCAGCAGTGATGTAAGACTTGAGAAAGGGACTCCGGGCATAATACCAATCACTGCATTGACAGGACATGAAAAAAAGAATCAACGGAATAAAATGTAGGATGAACACAATTACATTCAGGTAGCTAAAGTGATACCTCAACTATATTCAGATGGAAAAATAAAAAAAGAGCTACAGAGAAAAGAGGTGTCACTGGAAGTATGGCAGCAGCTCAAAAAAAGAGATTTAGCACTAAAGAAATTGTTTGTTTTTTTTACACACATGATGATTATAGTGGTAACCAGATAATATTATGAAGATACATGCAAAAGGGTTAAATGTAATAAAGGAAAAACTCTTCAAGGTATTTGTTATTCTCAATAATATTTCAAAAGAGAACTACAGCGGAGATACAGTACGTGTAGTTTTAATGATTCTATAGAACTGAATCTGTAAAACAGGAACAGGCTACATACAGTATGCGGTGTTTCATTTACATGTGTTGTCAGAACTTGGATCTGGAAACCTCAAACAAAACATGTTTTGGTTCCAAGATTGAAAAACAGCAGAATATACACATTCACTTTCTCATTAGCGCTGCAAAATAAAAACAATCTTAAAATGAGTTAAAAAATTCTTAAAATAAGTGTATTATCTTGTCTTATTCCATGGGCAAAATGTTTCACTTGTCCGCTTAATTCAAGAAAAAAATTCTGTTATTTAGATTAAAAGTTTTTGCAGTGAGCAGTTTAACTAGCATTAGCAATGCAGGCTGACAAGAATGGTACAGCAATGAATACTGTATGGGGGATTATGAGATCATATTGTTAAAGAATAATCATATAATAATCAAATAAAGAATCACTTTTTAAAATCCCTGCTTTGTTTCCTTGAGCAAAACATGTCAGCCCCATTGCCATTTGTCACTTGCTATTGCCATTTGTCAATTTCATTACTAAATAACAGTTAAAGAAATATTAAATTTTATTTATTTAGCTTTTTAAATAATTAAACAATGCTCATCACTGAGCTGCAAGATTCACATTTTCCCACTACAAAGGACTCTTTAACAATACGTTTTGAGGCATTCCTTTTTACTAAATAGGTATTAGTTTAAAAAGAAAATCACACACTCTATCATAGCACATGGAATCAATATGATGTCTTTATATGAACACAAGAAAGAAAACAAATACTAGAACCATTAAAGACCACCAACTTGATTTAAAGGTCAGATTTAAAGTTAAACAACTTCAAATTTAAGAGAAACCAGGAACTGAGAAATCAACGCAGGAATCTAAGGTTGAGGTTTTGTTTCCATAAAAACAGAAACATAACATAAATCAGGAATGGAAAGTAAGAGTTCCTCAGAATGAGCGTAGAACATAGTACTCCAATCCGCTTCATGGAGAAAAACAAACTTTTAAGTAACGTCAATATGCTACAATGTGATAAACATGTGAGCCTTTAAGAGTTATCAAACCTTGTGGCTTTCTGGTTAATGAAGCACTGCTGCAGGGTGTCTGCAAGACGCTGGTGAACCAGGGAGTAGCGGATGAAGGCCCGTCCTTTCCCAAGTGATGTCTTCAGCTAAGGAAATAAAAACATAAACTTTATGCATCCATAAATACATACAAGAACAAAAGAAGTTACTGCCAGCTGGACTTATGATTTTCTGCATAAGTATACAAACTTTCTTTTCCACAAAACTATCTAGTAGATAAATATGAAAAAATATACATGATTACTTCCTTTCTTTACAAGAAACATCCTGAAATGTGTGCAACCCATTTCTATATCCCTTTAATCTGGTAACTTTAAATTAAATCCAGTGCAATTAGCTGCCATTAAAAGTTATGTAATTTGTAATTTACCAGAGTATAATCCAGCTGTGAACAAAACAGCATCACACAGACCAATCCAAAAAATAGAAAGGTTAGAGAAGTTGCAGAGAAGTTCAAAAAGGAATTTAAGCCATTCTGCAGGAAAAGTGCTTTCAAGTTATGGCTGAGAAGGTATGAATAATAAAAAAAAAACTTTTCAGATTTCTTTTTGTGGTTTACTAATAAAAAACCATTAACCCCCTAGTTCACAGTAATGGATTATTTTGTGTTTGTGTATCAAATCATATCCCACATAACACACAGATGTTTGCAGCTGTAAAGGAGGGGGGGTATAAAAAGAAGCAATATGGAAACTGTTGCAATGTTCTTCACATACATCCAAACAGCTTACATCTGTATTATTAATACAAATACAAAATTTTCCCATCTAATGCAATTTAAACAGATAGCCCAAAGAAAATCTCTCGGCCGAGTAAAGGTTTCAAAATTTTACTGTATTTGTTCTTTATGCATAACACCCAAAAACACCACGCAATCATACATTTCATGCATTTATGAGGCTTCAAGTGTTTTATTGTCTGAACTGATAAACGGTAGAATAAAATCTCAATTAATTGACTCTTAGATTTTTAACCGTCTAGAATAGAACTAAACATACAATCTATGTTAAATCCTAGACTCTGTAAATCATTAGCAGATGGAAGGATTTAAATACGAAGACAGATACAACAAGCAGAAGGACACCAGCTGGAGCACTTGGACGTCCTCAGAGTCTGTGATCAAAGCGTGAAGCTGCAGCAAAGTAAAGTAAATAAGAACTTCGAAAACCTACAAGAAATTTTTAGTAAACACAGATCCACATTTTTAACTTCAGGGAAACAAAAAAAATTTTAACTCCATACAAGTATGTGTTGATAGTAAATCAATCATTACAGAACAGAGTTATTTTTGTACATGATAATGGCATTTTCTTTCAGCGAAAATGCGGATGAAGCTGCATTAAATCAAATTTGAATATAGTACAAGTTTGGAGATACAGTAATGTGACTTGATGTTTCTAGGTGTGCTAAAAACTACATTGTGTTTTGGGCAGCAGTTAATACACAAACAAGCAATTTAGAGGGTTTAAACTTGGCATGCAGCTCAACATCAAAGTTTCTACAACAGACAATAAATAACTAATTTCAGTGCCTTTATATCATAATGCTGACAAAGAATACATAAGAATGATAAAATCTTTAATATAGAGATGTAATGGGGTCATTAAGCAATTGGAAACTTGAAGACTTTGACTCAATATAAAGTGAGAAGCAAAATCAGGCATATTTATCATTTCTTCTTTAGTTAATCGACAAAAAGAATCTGTACATTGTTAGTTTCCCAGTAGCAAACCTCTGAGAAGCTTATGTTACTTTTTGTTGTCAATTCCTTTAAGACAAAGAGCTAAAATAAACATTTTAAATTATTTCTTAAAAAAAAACAAAAAAAACCAACAAAAGTGATTCCTTTACAGTAAACTTCAACAACTTATATTATAAATACTTTAAAGGGTAGAAAATATTGTAATGAGAACAAAAAGCTCACCGCAGTGAATTCCAGGCAAAAAAAAGGTAAAAAAAACAAAATAAGCTGCAGAGAACTGCAAGAGCTACGGCAAGCAAATGAGCAGCACCTTCTGTTTCTGGCTAAGAGAGGATTACCTAGATGGTTATGCAGGCACCATGAACCTGGACGAACACATGTGATGAATGCAATGGCAGAAATGGGGGACAGAATAGGCTGTGTGTGTGTGTGTGTGTGTGTGTTAATTTGTGTGCAGAGGATTACCTCAGGGATGGATTTAACAAAACGGATGCCATCGTTAGCTCCTTTGATCTTAATCAGACAGTCGCAGAAGTAATCCCAGTAGTCTTTTCTCTGGCCAAGAAAGGTTGTCCTCTCTTTCTGGTCAAACTGAAAGTCACATACAGCAGTCTGTTAAAACGGCCTCCTTACAATATGTCAAATAGGTCTGCATTGGCATTTCTTTACCTTTTAAGAATACAACTTGCTATTGAACTCCCTTATCTTTTCCTTTGTAAACTTCAATACCAAATTAAATTACTTTATAATCTTAAATCTGGGTTGATATTAATAAATCAAGTTGGGGGGATGATATGGCCATATGGTATTTATTTTTCTCATTTATTGTGATATAGTGCAAGTTAGCTGTAAAGGAGCGCAGAAATAATTTTGTTTAAAAAAAATCTCACACCAGTGCTGATTTTTTCAAAGTAAAAGTTTTTGGATTATGATATCTGTTCGTAAATAATAGTTTTTATTTTATTTATATTTTTAATAATGCTATCCCTGTTAACCAACATAAAGGTTAAAATTAACCAATATTAACATAAGCTAATATTGGCCTTGTCAACAATAATCCTACCCTTGCTCAGACGATCAAGGCAAACAAAGTTTGGAATCTCTTATTATTTACTTAATTTAATTTAATTTAGATGAAACCAATGTTAATGATAAAAATCTTAAAATGAAGGTGGGATTTGGCAACATTACGATAAAGTATGTCATTCTAATGAATCAATAATTTAAAAAAGTAATGGTGTTTTTAAATTGGAATTTTGATTTGGGTCTGAATTGATTGCAACAGAGACGTAAAGCCTGGAAAATCAAATATTCTTTTGATGAACTGTTTTTTTTCCTTACTTGATTAACCAAACTATTTTAGGACACTGCAAAAACAATCTAGAAATAAGGGAAAAAATTCTTAAATTAAATGTATTTAGCCTTTAATTTGAACAGGTAAATAGGATTATCTGACAACAGAATTTATTTTTTTACTCTTAAAATAAGATAATTAGATAATTTGCGCTTGAAAAAACACAATGCAATTGTTTTTTCTTATTTTAAATGTAAATTGTCTCCTTCCATTGGGAAAGTGTCCCACTTACCTCCTCAATTCAAGAAATTGTACTTAGAAAATGACTTACTGAAATTTTTTGCAGTGGAGAGCAATGGAACATGATTATAATAAAGAGAAACAATATTCTGGATGTTCTGTACAATTCAAATGTATTTCCCTTCAGCAAAAGTTGATGGCAATGCCCACTTCATTAACTCTTAGAAAAGCCAACATTAAAGGAATAGTACACCCAAAACATGATTAGCCTTCATTTTCTACTCACCCCCATGCTGAACAACACTCTGGAGTACTTTTTTGATATCTCAAATGCATCTGGAGATCTGGGAGGCTTCTTGCTGTCTGCTGACATTCAAATAATGGAGGTCTATGGTGCCCGAGACAGAAAGGTCCATAAAAGTCCACAAAAAACGTGTCAATATTCCTCCATACTGCTCGTCCAATGTATTCCAAGTGTCCTGAGTGGGTAGCATCCAGAATTTACTCGAAACGAAGTCATTTAGAATGTTTTTAGAGCATAAACAGTAGTGTATAGGATTTCCTGAAAGCGCGTTCACGACGCTACGGAAACCGCGGCAGACCAAACCAGACGAAAGTGCGCATTTAGCTCGGCAAAGAACTCATGCTCTTCCTCAACACTGAAGTCCTCAGACATTTTTCTTTCGTTGTTTCTTTCTTTGCACAGGTAAACAGCACATTTCTTCTTCTACGCTTGCATTATCTGCAGAGCAGACGCTGAATGCGCACTTTCATCTGGTTCTGTCTGCCGGCTTCCGTAGCGTCGTGAACATGCAGGTGCGCGCTTTCAGGAAATCCTATACACTACTGTTTATGCTCTAAAAACATTCTAAATGACTTCGTTTCGAGTAAATTCTGGATGCTACCCACTCAGGACACTTGGAATACATTGGACGAGCAGTATGGAGGAATATTGACACGTTTTTTGTGGACTTTTATGGACCTTTCTGTCTCTGTCACCATAGACCTCCATTATTTGAATGTCAGCAGACAGCAAGAAGCCTCCCAGATCTCCAGATGCATTTGAGATATCAAAAAAGTACTCCAGAGTGTTGTTCAGCATGGGGGTGAGTAGAAAATGAAGGCTAATCATGTTTTGAGTGTACTATTCCTTTAAGCCCTTAACATTCTGTTCTACCAGAAATCAAAACATTTGATCGAAGACTTCCAATTTCAGAATGAATAAATACTCATTTCTGGCCGTACAGCTGATCTATTTTTAAAGGTTAAAGCTTATATCCAAACATAATTTAAATTTAAACTTGTACTTTGTTCCTCCTTTAAAATGGGTAAAATAAAAAAAAATTTGACCCAATTAATATTGACATCAACTGATATGAACGCGTTATATATATTTAGCCATTTTGCAGAGCCATACTGTAGTCTCAAGCATTTTTATAATGACCAACATGTTCTGTATTTTAATTTGAAGTGTACGTTTCCTGGCAGATGTGTTTTTAAGCAGGCAAAAAAAAGAGAGAAAACAATCAACTACTTTGTTTTGGTCAATCATGAGATTAAAAAAATTCCTCAGCTAGATCACATCTGTTCATGATTGTAGGATGAAGTTAAAGGGATACATTATCTGAACTTGTGCCACTTACTGTTCACTTTGTTAAAACGTAGGAACTTTGATATGTGTATCGAAAAAATAAAAATATTTAATCTCTATTTTCATGAATTAAAAGTACAGTGCAGAAAACACTGGAATGAACAGACACAGCCTCACATTAATTAATTCAATGGTCATCGCTGTAAACAACTCTTTGCAACTCAACATGATTGCCCATCCGACATGTGTTTATTTGTCACACTTTTAAGAGTTTACAACTTTCTAAGGGTATTTTCATTTTTAGCAGCAACACATAAAATACAGTGATAAAAATTATAACATACATTCTAAGAAAACAAAAGTTACTTATTATAAATCAAAACACATTCTGGTACTTCAGATTCAGGCACCATCTTGATTTTTTTAAAATAAGAAAGGTACATCTATATGACAGCTCAGTGTAAACAGCTCCCTTAGTGTGGAATTGATATACCTGCAAAAGGTATTCCAGCTTATAGAAGAACTTGTGCAGATTGGAACTATCATCGGTTATAGGCTCACCACACTCTTTGTGTTCTTTACACAACTCTATAACAGCATCTAGGACAAAAAGCAAAAGCAGGGTTAGTAAACAAACAATAGATCTTGATTTTAGGTTAAGCACACTTTACATTGCCATTTTTCTTGGAAGTTATACTTTGTTTTATTCACAATAAGCACAAAATAAATACTGGGCATGTCTTCCAGATGAGATCTGGTTTTATTTAACGTCTAACCCATTCAGAAATCTGGCCATAAGTGTTTTTATTTATTCCAAGGAACAAAAGACAAAAAAAAAATGTGCTGCAGGTTTATAAACAACAGCAGCTTTAAGTCAAACAGGGCACATATTCAGCAAGTGTATGTTTCCTTCCCATTTGTGAGTTATCAAAATAAAAACAGAAGCAAAGCACATTTTGCGGTACTTTTTTGCATGTTTTTTCTGAATCTTAATGGTTGATCACTAATCTCAAGCCAATCAACAGGTCTATCAACCAACAATTTTATTCTTGAAACATTAAAGCAATGCATTTTTTTTTGTTTACATTGTAATATATAAAAAAAGTCATACATGTTGATTATATTTACAACAGCCGTGGATAAAACATCTTAGTAGAAATAATGATAATCTGTGATTTGTAAACAGTATAACCCTTTTGTTGCAACCTGCCTGAATATATATACACATGAAAATACATTTTTAATGGTTGTATTATATTAAAAATATATATATATACCTGATAATTTTAAGTAATGATTTTTATTTGTTTTGTTAATTACTAACTGACCTTATATGCACTGAATTGGAAGTCATGTCTAACATCCTTATTGCATGTGTGAATAGATTACCATGTAGATCTCTGATGATCCTCTGCAGCTGTTTATCTCCAACTGATGAAGAGGAGGCCATTGTTGGGTTTAGGTCTGCTACAGAAAGAGACTTTATAAAGAAAAAGAAAAGAAGAACATAATCTGGCTATGAATTAAGCTACCATTCAAACTGTGGCAATAGTTACCTTTTCCTAGTACAAAAATACGCAGTCTCATCTGACATTCAGCGAGTTCATTAGAAATTAAACCAAAGCTTTTATTAGAAAATAATCCATAGATCAGTGAGGATGCGATGTATCATAGCTGAGCAAAGTTAGCAAAATCATTCTGCTGTTGGCAGACGTTAAAAATCGATGCGACCTGACCAAATCATAATGTTTATTACGGCCATTATCATACAACACTGATTCAAATATTACCCACATTTAAAATGACAAGATTGTCTCATATCACTGCGAACAGTTTTGAAACGCAACATAAACATCGACATGTCAGTGAGCATGCACCTGCTCCTAGCTATCAACTTCCTGCTCTGATTTTATTTATACTTCCGTGATATTTGTCGTTAGTTTCAATATAAATACCAGTAAACATCTGCTCAATGAACCTGAACCTGTATAAAATACATACCTGATGAATGATAATGTACTCCGTTCCCAGTTTCTTCTTAATTCAGGCACAAGAAAAACATAGCCGGGTATGGAGGCGGGATCAAGGAATTACTGACTGGCGGACTGACCAATCAGGTGAAGGCAAACATAGTTTGTCTGAGAATCACGCAGCTAAAAAAATACAAGGAACCGATAGGATTTTCACCAGTTTGCAAAAAATAAATAAATAAATAAATAAATAAATAAATAAATAAATAAATAAATAAATAAAAAATAAATAAAAAATAAATAAACAAACAAAAATTAGAGGAAGAAATATAATAGTATCATTTGCCCGGAATTTCAATAAAATAAATTATTATGAGGTAAAAAACAAAAACAATATATATATATATGAAAAGGGACCCAATGCATAAAACTATTAACATATCTACAACAGTACTATTAATAAAAACAACAAAACAGTATTAATAACAATGATAGTGATAACAACACTGATAATTACAACAGTAATATTAGATCAATAGAAGATCTGGAAACTAAAAATCTGAAAGGTTTCTCACCAGTTTGCAAAAAAAAAAAAAAAAAAAAAAAAAAATAGAGGAATAAATCTATTAGTATAATTTGCCCGGAATTTCTTTAAAATAAATCATTATGAGGGAATTGTCTTTAGGAGTGAAGTTTCTATTAGTCAAAAAATATATATCAAACAACATATTGAACATTGTATTCTCCATGTATCTCCATGCAGGTTGTGAAGCAAATGTATTTAATGAAACCACCTGATGAAATGAAAATGCTTGCTTTTCTGTTCCTCTTTGATTTTTTACTTAAGGTGAGACTTACTGCCTCTGTCTTTACTGCTGATCGTAACAATTCCTTGCACCACTACACCGGTACAGTATATGCCTAGATTATTTATGCTTTTGACCCTTTCTTAGATTTAAGGTCACAATTGTTTTGCATTTAAATGGAGACAATATTAGTATCTAAACGTGACATTTAACCTGAAGGTTTATATATACATATATATATATATATATATATATATATATATATATATATATATATATATATATATATATATATATATATATATACATATATATTTATTAATTTATTTTTTGGTCTCAAATTTGTGCACACTATTGAAGATAGTGAAGAAGTAAATATTTAATTAATATGTTTTTAAGAAGAAGGCGCTAAAGATGAAAAGCTTTATTCATTCATTTTTATGTATGTCATCTCTTTTTCCCTCCAGAGGAAAATCAACACAGACGAAAGCTTCATGGATTCTGAAAAAGCAGGCATCACCCAAACAGCAGTGCTAAAGATGACAATGGAGACAACATTCGACTATGACGATATGGATAATATTACATCTGACCACTGTCCCCAAAAAGAAATGATTGATTTTGGCGACACCTTAACCATCTTTTTTTTTTCTTTTGTGATAATATTGAGTCTGTTTGGCAACATCCTTGTTCTTGGGATCCTGTTCAAGTATGAGAATGTCAAAGCCATCACCAATATGTTGATCCTGAACCTGGCTGTGTCGGATCTCTTCTTCACCTTAGGGCTGCCCTTCTGGGCTTACTACCACATGCATGGATGGACATTAGGGGAGCCTGCATGCCAGGTTGTTAACTTTCTCTTCTTTGTTGGCTTCTACAGCAGTGGTTTTTTCCTCATCCTGATGACTATCCACCGCTATATAGCTGTCATGAATCCTCTCTCTAGCATCGTATCCACAACGGGTCTCTCTGGGATTTTGACCTCTGTCATAGTCTGGGTTGTCAGTATCCTGGCAGCAAGTCCTGTCTTCATGTTCGTCACAGTCATAAAGGGCCATGACTATGATAATGCTGAGAACAACGAAGATTCAAGTAGAAAACCCAAGGATTTTTGTGGTTATGGAGACTCTTTCTCATCAAGATTGGGAATTTATGAACAAAATGTTCTATTCATCTCAACAGCCTTGGTTTTTGCCTTCTGCTACTCTCTGATCGTTTGCAGGTTGTTGCGTCCTACTGCCCAAAGAAGAAGAAACAAAACCATCAAACTCATTTTGATTCTCATGATTGTCTTCTTTTTGGGGTGGGGTCCTTATAACATTGTAATTTGGCTAAAGTCATTCACATTAGGGCATGGACAAACTGCTGACAATCAAGAACAAAAAACAGAAATTTGTAAAAATCGCACAACTCTAGAATATGCCTTCTACATCACCCGACTCCTTGCCTTTTCTCACTGCTGTCTCAACCCTGTGTTTTATGTGTTTGCTGGAGTTAAATACAAAACCCATTTAAAAAAACTATTGCAGAACTGGGGCCACCGTAACCATAGCTTCCCACAGAGGGAGAGCAGAGCGACGATCACGTCTTTAACAAGCAGCAACGAATTCTCTATGTGATTGGTAAAAATACTAACTTACACATTCCTAATTTGAAAGCAACTCATATCGAATTAAGTCATTCTTTGGACTGTAATATCCAAGTAGACAAATATTACCAGGCAATCAGGAAACCAAGATTATTGACCAAATTAAATATGTATATATCTTCAGATAGAAAAGTGAAATATACATGTTTGTATATATGATCACAGTTCAGAATCGCGTCACTGTATTTACTTTGTTTTACTGTAGATACAGTAGATAATTTCTCATTTTATTTTGCATTTATCAATACATTTTGCAGCTTTTAGTATAATTAAATGCCCCAAGCTGATTGTAATAAAAATATATATATTATGTAAGCATTTAATGCAAGTAACTGTATCTGTGTACACTTAGGTGAATAAATCTGCCCACTTCATGTTAAATGCTATCACAGAAACCAGGAAGAAAGACTAGGAAGAAGCTGACGCTGAGAATCTACACAGCAGCTATACAATTCATTTGGACATATACATATACTACTGGGTTACAGTTTCTTGCCTAAGTGTTAAAATAAAAAGTAACTGTTTGCTCATCTGTATGTCCCTATTAACCCACTCATATTGTAATGTACAGAAGTGATTACAATCATGATCAGCAATAAACGATAATAAGACTGCCTTTTTTCAAATCATGAGTCCATTTATTTTGGAATGAATGAAAAGAAGTTTGAATACTGATAAACACACCATTACACAAGAGACCAAAATAGGCTTTCTTCCCCTATTCTCTCTGCCACTCCTACCAAGCAGTGGCAGAGGCTATTGTGACACTGAGGTGTTGGTTGAAAAGAAAAAAAAATCTGACAATGAAAACAAAGCAAGTTTTTTGTTCCCTAAAGCAAAAAAAAAAAAAAGCCTCCACATCAGACACTTTCACATCCAGCAGATTACCTCTTTATAGCACAAACTCCACCTTCTCAATTCAAATTGGCTAATCACCTCAATCTTGGGTCAATCAAATGGGGGGGAAAAGGCAAGTTTGCCATCACATACATAATATGTATTCTCACTCATTTAATATCAGGCAAACACCTTCTGTATATAAATGCAGACTTTAGATTTTTTGCTGATTATTTTACTTAATGTTTCAACAGATCAAAGTTCAGATCTCAACACTACACTTCTCATAAAAGAGCAGGTTGGATGTGGCCTCCTCTTAAGCAGGGAAACAAGCTGGCTGCCATAAAAACACCTACCGGTACTAGGAAACCATTTCTTGTATCTTCCCTGATAAAAGATCATAACCCACTGGTCATACTCCAAAACAAAAAGAAAGACAGAAAAAGCACAACTCTAGGCCTATGGGAGTGTCCAGAGACAGATTGAATTATTACATATATCATAAACTGATGTTTGAGAACCCTGATTTCAAGCCTATGTGGCATTGGACGTTTATGCTGCCAAGTTTGATGGTTGGACTGAAGATGGCAGCACCTCTCTGAGGTACTGTAAGTAGAGAACGGTACCTCAACCTTCCCTTATAGAAATATTAATAGAATAAACACTTTCTGATGAGCTTTCCAGATATACTAAAAAATAATATAAACCTTGAGGAAAACGTTTGACAACTTTGAATACTGCTGGATTTTGTGTAGGAACCCTTTGAATTTCCCAGCAAAGTTCTTTAAGTGATGAAGACAAACTGTAACAAGTCTTAGGATGAGAGATTGGTACAGTAAATGTTCACCTCTCTGGATACTAATATTGTCAAGGGTACAACAAAAATGTAATTTCCCATACAGCATACTGCTGAATGGGTAGATGTTGCAGTATGGCTTTAACCATTTTTCAGTTATTTGAGGTTTAATTTTTGTAGTTATTGCAATTTACCAAACTAAACAGACATGGAGACCCCAAAGGGGAAGTAGCATTACAAGAATAAACCAACACATTAAAACAAAAATGAAACAATATCAAACCGATAAAAAGATCATGTAAAAAAGCGATTAGTTAAAATACATAAAAAGTCAAAGCAAAGATGCTTATAAGGGAATTACAAAAGGGTATTTATATTGGGCACATAATTTGTTTAATTTGCACTGGAGAAAGGCAACTGTGTTTATTTCTTTGCATTCGCCCGCTTTTTAGGGCAGGGTGAAGGAGGCCAAGGCTCAAAGAAAAAAATGTTTTTCAGGGGCTGATTTTTTTTAACCTTCAGGTAAAGAGGTAAATAAAGAGTGAACTACTTCTTTTTGTGCCAAGCTAATTATACCCGCCTGATTCTGCAAGTGTTTGATTTTCATACTGTCATACTTTTGAGACATCATTACTGTAGTGGTTATGTTGATTATCGCTGACGTCTGACTTAATTGGAAACAGAAAAAGGGAACTTTTTGTTCTGTTTTTTGCTTTTTCTTGTAAGTGGGTGTCTAAACAACAGTTTGCACTGTCTGGGGTAAGTCTTTAAAAGCTTTCTATAATCAATATGAAA